GTTTTATCGCAAACTTAAATTCACTTTCCCCCGGCCTGGGTGATTTGAGATGGAATGAGCCAGAGGCTTTTCCTGCCTTTTTGGCTATTTTATTTTGCCTTTTCCAGTCTATTTTGTTATTTTACTTTGCCTTTTTTATGGGTTTTTAGGTCCTTAAAATCCGTTCCCTGATAATAAGTAATCATCATCAATTATTTTGTACGTGAAATAAAGTTTTACGATCGCTTCGGGTAAGGTTTAACCCCTTAAGCCCCCTTTGTTTTCGCCGCTACTGAATTCTATAAACTGCCAGTTTTCACACAATTTAAAATGTACATGTTTATTTTTAATTGTCATGAAAATTGTGTTGCCTGCTTCATGTTGCCAACATATTGCAAGCTTTTTCACAGCGAGAACAGAATACTACTTTGCTGAGGAAATGGTGTGGAATTTCACATTTAAGGTTAGTATTCTGTTCACAGCCGTGAAATTTTTCCAGCAACACTTATTGTTTTCACATGAAATTTTGACACACCCAAAAGTTAAGTATGTATAAAATAAATAAATAAAAACAAATTTTCAATCAAACTTTCATTTCATTTCTTGCAATCATTAGTTCATTTTGCTTGAGGAGTCACAGTGCCCGATTTGTACAGATTTTTTTGAAATTTCGGACACAGACTTTCCAAGGATGGCTAAAACAAAACCGATATCTAAAGGGGCTATGGAACAAACCGAATTTTTCGTAGTGCATATCTCTGGAAGTATTTATGGTAGAATCCTGGAACTTGGTATGGATATATGAGTACTCCACTTGGAAACAGCGTTATGTGATTTTATAATAGTAAGCCCGAAATTAAAAAAAAAACGTCTACAGCAGCAAGTAACATCCAAATTGTATATTTATTTTTATTGTCTGAAAATTTGGATAAATAAGAGCCTAATAACATTAAAAATCAAAATCGCAGTGTGGTAGTTTTTGCAAATTTTATATATAGAAATTAAATATAGCAAGTTTTGAAACAGTAAGTTTTATATAGCCAGCTTTTTTAAACTTTTCGCGTTCTCCCTTCCATGAAGGTTGGTCTGCTTCTTTTTTATGACGTCTTCCACTAGGCATCGAAACTACCACGTTTTTTTGCAGTTTTCTAAGTTCGTCAGAAGATGGAGACTTTTGAATTTGTATAAATATGTACAATAAATATTATAGCGACTTTTGAAAGTGTATATATACATACAGTAAGCATTATAGCGACTTTTGCTAGAGTAGCTAACATTTGATACTATTTTTTTCAGAATATATAAGGATTTTGCACTGTATTGTTAGTGAACATGAAACTACTTTAAATACTGGTACGTTAACCACCAAATCTAAAAATCGAAAAAAATTTACATAGCGCACTTTGCAAGTGGACTACTCATATGTATATGAAGCCAATCTCGAGCTCATGGAAAAATATGGATTTATTAGAAAATTCGGCGTGGCACCGTAGAACTTGGAATAGAGATAAATAAAATTAATCCCAAAGCTATGAAAAATGAGAGTATTTGAAAATGTTCTCGTAGCCATTGAAAAGAGCCAGCGGTATAACCCATATAAACTAAAATTATGATGACGCATAGATACTTCTGGAAGCATTTTCCTAGAATACTGAGATGAGGTATTTTTTCAATGGAAAAATGTAGAGGAAAACGGGCATGACACCTTCTGCAAAGTTATATGATCACCGGGTGTATCCCTGGAACCATTTTAAGCTAAACCTTGAGAGATTACATTATAAGGAATAAGCTGAAATTGCGCCGCGTGTGGTAAGCTAGTCAAACTAATAAAAATTAGCCTTTCGTGAAATAAAGTATTACGATCGGTTGGGGTAAGGTTTAGCCATTTAAGCCCCCCTTTGTTTTCGCCGCTACTGAATTCTATAAACTGTCAGTTTTCACACAATTTAAAAAGTACATGTGTATTTTGAAATGCTATGAAAATTGTGTTGCTAGCTTCATGTTGCCAACATGCTGGAAGCTTTTTCTCAGCGTGAACAGAATATTATGGCGCATTTACATGGTATGAAGCCATATGAACTGTTGATACGTTAAAATAGAGGGACTACATGTTCTAATGAGGAATTCAATGATATCGAGTGGGATGCATATAATAAATTTTTTCATATGAAAAGTTATGGGGAGATACTGTAAACATACTATTGTGATACTGTTAAGCATATGAAATTATAGCAAGTTGAATTTTCATACATCTTCCCATAAAAAGTTTAACAGATGCAGAGATACCAAGGGGGGTTTTTCCCATTTTGATGCCTTTTTCATATAAAAACCCACCGAAAAGGAGGAAAGCGGCAACTCCGCAATTCACATACATGTCAAAAGTATGAATTTTAACATATATGTAATACTTCTATATTGGCAGTAAGCTAACTTCTCAATGTGTAAGCATTCCGAAATCAAAGCGAGACAGTCTAGTACCATTTTTGTCAACGTATTGTGTACTTGAGTGCCGTTTTTGTATATGTGTTGTGTACAGGTTTATTTATAAACGTATGTGTTCCTTTTCTTTCGTACGTGTTTATTGATATATCTGTACTGTAGTGTTTTCGGAAGGTACTAGCTATTACTGCCAATATAGGAGTATTACTTACATATATGAATTTTAAAAATTAAAAACAACCCACCATGCAAAACATGAGAAATAGGCAACAATCGTCAATGGCAACAAATTGGCGACTCACCGATTTATTGCTGTGGTGACAAATCGGCAACACCACTTCGTTCATGTCAATTTTGAATAAAAAAGTTCTCAAAAATTCAGAAACTTATGAATATGGCGTCAATAGCATTGGCCAAAAGCATCTAAATTATGCCCAAGGACAAGATTGAAAAAATAGGAAGTCGCACAGGGAGAAAATGAATTAATTCCTATTGTAAGTTGCAATTTGGTATACAAAAAAATAAATGCAGTATTAAGAAGAATAAAATTATTCCAAATATCCCCTGAAGCGATAAGAAAAGGACTCATTCAGGTAATAAGAAAACGACTCACCCAGGCGAGTTGCCTTCGGCGGACGTTTTAGAGTGACCGGTAATAGGAAATCGATTCGATGGCAATATTACCGGCAATAAATTTGTTTCCGAGGGCGACACGTTTTCTTATTGCCGGCAACACAAATTGTTTGGTGGGAATAAACAAACAAATTCAAAACAAAGAAATTCTTTGTACTAGAACTTTTTAAATTGAAGCCACTCACGTTTAGTGGACAATAAAAATACGAAGAACTATGATAACAAACTTACAACAAGACATTACAGAACATTTTAATGAGCTTTATATCACGTTTAAGTAAAAATAAGCCTATATTTTCCAAGCTGGCAAAGAAATGAAAATTTTTTATTTTTTGTTGTTTACACAAAGACTTGCCAAATATACATATAAGTCAAAATTATAGAAGGCATGTATACTTCTCCCTTTCATTTTTTCATACAGTTTATGCTTCTTTCTGGCTTTTACAAAAATGAAGAGATACCGCACTTATTTCGGTACAATATGATCGTAATGTATTTTCAATTCGAAATCAAACAAAAACATCCCACGAAAATGTTTGCGATTTTAGAACCATTAGTGAATATTTGCAAACTACTGCAAATAATAGAGTGCCATATCTTACAAAGTTCAGAGTATTAACGAAACAAACAAGCATTTTATGGCTTCATGTTTCCTTCAAACCGCATTGCTATTTTTTCTAACTTTTCCTTTTGTTTAGCGATGTAACCTATTAAGTTATATCTTTTAATTTATACATGTGAACTATTTTCAATGAGCATTTTTTCATTTGCTCCAGAATTTTGGGTACATTTTCTTATAGTACCTCTCATTCTTTTTTATATTACATATATACACTCCGAAGTTCGGGATAGTATTTTGAATATACCAGCAATATATGTAAAAGTAGTGGCGGCTGCTGTAGAGCATTACGCAGAGCCTGAGTTCAAGCCCAGTTTTTCTAATAGTGGTTGCCCCTCTGTTGGTAATAGTAAACCTCCGAGTGTATTCTGTCATGGAAACAACTTCTCATTAAAATACAATTGCCGTTCGGAGTCGGCGTAAAACTGTCCTTTACTTTGTGTGACAAAATCACGCACGCCGCATATCGGAGGAGAAGCTAGGCCAAACGCTAACATATTGTTCAAGCGATATACATATTCGTCGTTTAAAGTACAAAAGCGCGTATCGTGGTTCTGCAAAACCTCGGAACTGAAATTTGTGCCAAAAAAGATATTTGGTCATCGGAAGCTCCTGACATCAAGCCCTTAGCCATTTATAATAAAATATCGATATAATAAAATATCGACTTAGACATAAGGAGAGAAGATTATTAAGTTTAAAAGAGAGAACCGTTTTTAAAATTTAGGCAACCTCCCATACTAGGTTTTGTATTTCCTTGATGCGCGGTTTTGTGCTTTAAACGAAGATATGTAGAAGTATTGCATACATATTTTGGTGCCTTTTCAAGTATAAAATCCACTGAGAAACGGAAGAAAACGGCATCCCTATGATTTCAACTTATGACAAACGTTTCGTAAACAAGCAATTCTGAACAAAAAACTGTTTTTCCACAAAGATGTTTAAATGGAAGCATTACAAATATGGAAAAATAGCAATCCACAAGGCTTTATTGGCAGTAGGTCCTTTTTAAAGCACATTTAACAAAAAAATAAGCTTCTAGTTTCGAAGCTAGCACAAAATTTTGTTGTTTACAAAAAAAATATTGTCTAGTATACAAGTCAAAATTGTTAAATATATATCGCTTTCATTAATTTCTTCATAGAGTTGGTGCTTCTTTTATAGGAAAATTTATACGGCTTATGAACAGATTCATACCATGTAAATGCACCATTACTTTGCTGAGGAAATGTTGTGGAATTTCACAATTATTTCACAGAAAGAAATTTTATATGCAACTAGCAATTACCCGGCGTGCTTCGCTGCGCCTTAAATGTATTTTTGTGTTGTAACTCCCCCTAAGCTCTTATGGCCTCATTTAAAAAATATTTTTAAAGAACTTTATGAAGTTAGATTTAAAATAAATCGATCTATCAAGCATTGTTTATTTTTTTTTTACCGATAAAATATATTTGCAAAAATTTATAGTCATCATTGGCAAATGGTAATAGCGAGCCTGCTCGATGGTATATTTGTCCCTGAATCTATAATGTTTGTGCAATGAAATTGGATGAATGATTGGAATATTTAAAAATGTCAAATGTTTCACTGGAAATTCAATGCAAAATAACACCTTGAATGTCGGCATAAATGTATCTCTAATGATCTTTGTGGCACCAAAAGAAGTCATTTGAAAACATGAATTGTATGCTTGAATGTTCTGCAAAAAATGCTTAGATGTCGGCGATTCTCCAGTGAGCAAGGAATGTAATGGTTCTGGTGGCGGTTCCAATGCAGGCAGTTTCACTTTGCCACCGGAGCAGCACATGCCAGCTGTTTCTCCTCGAAACTTCGCTGCATTGCAATGCGTACAAATAATATCCATTGCTCCAATGGAACCATGCAGGCTGTAGTCGCAGTCAGGATCGTAGTGAAAGCCAACATGTTCCATTTGATCGCGAAGACGAAGCGGAACTCTGCCTTGGCGATAATTTGGCCGTTGATTGTCTGCGGATTCAGCTCTAAACTGTGCACGCCGCTCTCTGTACACCGCTCTACCTCGGGCATTCACTTGAGCGCGTTGCTCTTCGCTTTGATTTCTTCTCCTTATTGACATTCGATGTGAATCACGCGTATGCCTGCCAACCGTATTACGTCTGCGTAGTGGAGGCATTTTCTAAAGTATTCTTTTCGAATAAATGTAGCAAATCGATTGAATTAAATCTGGAAAAAACACGCAATGTTGTTGTCAATGTTTTTTAATAATTGTAAACATTCGCCAGCTGTTTCTGTTTATTTATTAGTAAAAGGCAGGACTGCCAATCTTGCGGCAAAACAATAATAAAAATCCAAAAAAACACGTAAAGCCAAACAGAATTAATTGCAAAACGTGCAATGATACACACATTAAATTTCTTATGTGCACCCTCCACACAGACCCCAATCACTTCTGAAAATTTCATTTTATGTGCACCCTCCACACAGACCCCAATCAC